TCCTGGGTTTGTAGGGACACTGTCTGCTCTGTGGTACAGAGTCCTGATCACTCCTAACTTGTGTTCCAGTGGGTGGAGAGACGAAACGTTTCATTAGAGAAGAACCCGTCCAGAAGACCTACACAATTTTTTTCTTTTTGATTTTTTTTACCTGGATTACTGAGATGCATCAGGACATTTTAAAAATGTGGTTTTCATTTGACAAGCATTAAAAAAGTTAAAATTTGTCAGATTTACTCTTGTTTACAGATTTGTGTTGATACCGTTTTGTACGGTTTGTTTATTTTCTGGTTCATCTGTTTGTGGCTCTAACAGTTTTTATGAGCTTTTAGCCAAAACCCTGGTATTTCTGTAGAAACTGTCTGTTTAAATGACAAATCTTGATTTAGCAGAAAAGAGGAAGTGCAGTTCTGCCCTCGGGGGGCGCAGGCTTCGAGGTGAAACTGTTCATCAAATAAACGAGAGCAGAGCCTCAGTTTCAGTCAGGTGAGGGGGAGTCGTGTTTCTGAGCAGTCAGCTCAGGTGCAGCATCGACAGGCTGCAGGTGAGCAGCACCGTCTGCACACGTGTGCACGAGAGCAGTTCACTGCACGGATCAAACACCCCGAGCGTCTCGCCCTCCGTCCAGCAGGCGCCACATATGATGGACAGAAAAACAAGAACTCTCTCTTAATAACAATAACATTTTGCTTTTTGTTGTTGTCTCCCCAGCATCCTCTACAAAACCAAGCTGCCCTTCATTGTTGCCATGAACAAGGTCAGCTGGTTGTTTCTTTGTGTTGTCAATCCTTATCTTTTGTTTTTGTGTTCATTTATTTGTTGTTGTTGTTGTTGTTTAGTCTGTTCCTGTTTGTTGTCTGATCAGGGTTTCTGTAGAGGTGAGAGATCAGAAGCTAAAAAAAAGCCTAAAGATAAATCACTAAATATTCTACAAAGTTAGGGTGTGCAGGACGTTTGTTTGAAGGTTTGGATTCTCCTAAACATATTTGTTTCCCCCTCAAAGGTTCAGAAAACCTCTAAATGCCTTGAAACCATGTTTTTTGAGTCACAATGAGAAATGTCCGGGATCGTTTGTTGTATTTTTTAATGCTTTATATTGTTAAAGGGATCCACGATTAGTTGTAACATTAGACTTTATTTGATAAACATATATTTTAACTGTAAAATAAAGACTGTAAAAATACTGTAGGATGTTTAGTTTTTTTTTTTTGTTTGTTTTAAAAATCTATTTTAACACAAACGGAGCCATTTTATTTACACACAAAGCATTCTGGGTAAATGTTGATGTCGATGATGTCATCGGTGCGAGGCTGCTAGCGAGCTACCAGAAACCAGAGAGCGTTGACAGAGAGGAGAAGGCAGAAATGACTCAGCCTGTAACTGAAAATAAGGATGGAGGACAACAGAGTTGCTCCATGGAAGAACCCCAACTTAGCCTGTTAGCGTCAGCGCCGATCCTTAAATGTGTTAGCTTGGGGCTAGCGTAACCAGCTAACAAGCTAAACTGAGGTGGAGACTTGGACCCCTATCCTAACTGCTTGCTATTTTGTTTTATTGTAAAATATACAAAAACCATGATGCTTCCTACACTGGTAAGAGTTTTAGTTTCCAGTGTGGTACTTGGG